GGCCTAAACACACAAATGCTAATAAGTGGTACGTAGTGAGAATGATAATAATAAATGTCAATTACAGTGCTTTTCAGAGTGTTTTATCATCTTTTTAAATTATTTATCATTACTTTGATTGACAGGGATCACCTGGTCCAATGGGTCTGAAAGGAGAGGTATGTCAAGCTCAATAAAGCAATTACCTTACCTCAGTGTAACATGAATAATAACTAGTATTACTAATAATGGGGTGGTATCCTTGCCAGAAAGGGACAGCAGGGGATCTGGGGCAGAGAGGTCAAGAAGGTCAAGTTGGACAACCCGGACAGCCAGGTCAGTCAGGCCAACCAGGCCCCCGAGGGTTGCGGGGAGATATGGGCCCTCCTGGCCCACCTGGACCCGAAGGAAGATATGTACGTGTGCCTTATACTGTACTAACAACTTGTTTGTAATGGTTTTTTGTAATCGTGTTATGTATAACTTAGTGGTTGGTCGTGGTCTATCACTTTATATTGCAGTTAAGTGCAATGTCAGACAATCACATTCGGCAGATATGCAGAGAGCTTCTTCAGGGTATGTATCATTTTAAACTACCTGCTGAACATTTTTTATGTATTTTCCCCAAATGAAACTATCTCATTATCAATCCTTCCAGCTGAGCTGCCTCTATTGATACTGAGCAATCAGCAGAGTAGCTGTACCAGGTGTCAAAGTCAGCCTGGATCTCCTGGCCCACCAGGTCCAATGGGGCCCCAGGGACTCAGAGGTCTTCCTGGGCTTAGTGGTTCTAGGGGACTGCCAGGCCACCCTGGTCGGCCGGGGTATCCTGGGATTAATGGTCTCAAAGGTAAAATAAAGGTCAAGTTAGTCGCATATCCTAAAACTTTCTGCACAATCTCTCTAACAAGGACACTTGTGTTTGCAGGAGAACCAGGTTTCAAAGGGGAGAAGGGGAGCCCTGGTCGGGTCATGATTGGAGACCATGGGCCTCCTGGACCTCCAGGTAAAGAACATCACAGATTTATTTTCCATTCATTTGATAAGGTCATGTAAAAGTGCAGAAGCACTTTTAGTGGATATCTGGTATTTAGCTTTCAGCTGTGTTCCATTGTGGTTGCTTGTTATTTATATCTCCACAGGTCCAATGGGTCCGGAGGGACATGGTAAACCAGGTACTCCAGGTAAACCTGGGCCCCCTGGTCAAAATGGCCCAGAGGGTAAAAGTGGTAATCCTGGCATCCCTGGTGAGCCTGGTGTGTGCGATCCATCCATGTGCTATGGAGGCATGATGAGGCGGGATTCTTACAGCAAAGGCCCAAACTATTGACATAAGGCAGCATCACTGCAGGCACCAGTATAAAGCTGATGCAGAACAGATATTCTCAGGAAGATCTCACCATTACAGTTCCTCTCTGACATGGAAACAAAACGTACCTCTTCTGACACCGTTTATGTGACACCTTTTATGCATCCCAGTTTCTTTGATGGTATTTTGTATTATTAGTCATATGGCTTTGAACATTCTTTGAAAATTTAATGGTGTTAAGAGGATTAATGATTGGCTCCAGTGAATACCTCTTATCCAAGCACCTTATATGAGGTATCAAATGTGCCAGCCATGTAACGCACGGTACTCACTGCATTTAAGATTACTACGCATAGACTCATGCACACCATCTATGAACACACTACAGCTAACAGTTTGATGGATATCTGGGTTTGTGTATAGGTAGGAAATGTAAGTGCAGTGCCTGTCGTATTAGGTGCAGCATACCAAACGCCAGCAAACATAAAGGTCTAACCAAGATTTTATTGCATATCAGGAAAGCTTATTATGGTTTTCCAACACAATCTTACCAAATCTTCTGCTTTGCTGACAAAAAACATACACCTGTTTACTGTTTGAGCCTTATATTTAATCTTGATGAAGAGATGAATTTATAATTAGAACTAATGAGAACACCTTTGAGTCTGAGGTGTTTGTCAATCCTGCTGTTGTCTGAAGCTGTTGGCATTTAGTAAGCTCAGAGGAAGGACCCATTTTGAGCCATGCCATCATTTACTTTGGATGAGATTTATGGCATGCACTGCATTAACATCAACTAATTACATGCACACCTACTTCAAAACGTGAGGTGTATGTGCAGATTACACATACAGTCAATTATGTTGAACATTATTTACATGCAACCTTTCGATTCTTGTGAACCACACCTAAATAAACCCACCATTTCCAGTGTGACACCTATCAGTATAAGGCCTATGTGTACATACATGTGCAAATTGTTTGTGAATTCTAAATGAATGGTGATTGTTTGGTCACATCTTAATATGGCGTTACTAAAGCGTTTGACTGCAGTTGGCTGACATATTTGACTCCTAATAATCTTGAAGTTTGTACTGTAAGTCCCTGTGGCTGGTACACTTTCTTATATTGCCCCCTTGTGTTCCTTCACTGCATGTTTCGTTATAAGATTTTACTGCACATAGGGCAGGTGCCACATGTTCCACTAAAAAACAGAACAACAAAAATCAACACTCAAACACACACATGAAAAAACAATGATGATTTGTGAATTGATTCGTGATGAATTATCACAGAAATTAACAAGTTTCTGCGCAAAACTGTGACTTTGATTGCATCTCGCTGAGTACTCACTCCTGGAAGCTCGAATTCATAAAGCATTCTGACTTTTGTGCGTGAAAACTTTTTACAAAACACATCACCCCTGTTACCCTCCTACTGCAATACTTCTCCATTCATTGCCATGTCTTATTTGTTCTATATTTAGGATGTAAAATATATATATATATATATATAAAAAATGTGCCACCTATGAACACACCAACACTTTAGTTTCACATTTTAATCCATTTATGTTCCCCCAGCTTACCTTTCATTACTGTAGCAGGTATTTTTTTTTTATTTATAAGAGAGGCACATCACATTTCAGCAGTGACCTCTCTTAAACATCTTTTGTAATGTTATTATTTGGTGTGAAGGTATGACTTTTGCCATTTTTATTTTCTTTTTTTAAAAACTAGAATTAAAAAAAATCTTTTAAAGGATTTGTGAACTTTGTTTGGCTTTTGCTGTCCTGTCTCTGAACTTTACGCGTTTATTTCTGCTCTCCTATCACATCACTGATCTCATCTTTCACATGGAATCGTGGGTGTGGTTTGCACTTGGGAGTTTCCACTCAAAGTGAAGCATCAAAAGGGGATTAAGTACGGTGATGGGTTTGGAAGAAAAAAGAGGAGAGAGATCATCGCATGGCTCGTCGAATTAGGACACTGCTTTAGGAAACTTGGATGAGCGCAGCTTCAGCTAAAACGCTCTGTGGCTGGCAGGGAAACTTCAGAAATGACTAAATGTTCGGTTTTTACGCTAGATGGCGCTATGTGGCAACATCTTAGTATGCGTATGAATTTTTCTAAGAAGACTTCCTTTCCCCCCTGTTTGGACAGTAGCCACTCATCACACGTGAATCCCTCTCTGTTTATATGTTTAATTATCCCAGCATGGCGGCTTTCGCTTGTGTTTATTTAATGCCCCATGACGGTGAAGCTTTCTGCAATAAACTTAAATACTCATGTTTAATTATTGCTGTTGAGTGAAATGATGTAATTTTAAATTAAAGCATATAACCACGTGCGGTATGTGGTTTACAGTAGGCCTTTATCTCCTCCCGTCCTGAATTATGGCTTTACTATATTCTCCTTGTTTGTTAGTGTATTTAATATTTCCATGAATCCTCCATGCATGATAAAAACATGACCCTCGTTGTTTTGCGGTGGATGCAGCTGAAACCCTCTTTTATGAAGACTTCAATAACTTGAGGTGATTAAAAGGCTCTGTCATTATTCTTTCACTCGTTAGGAAGGCCTCTCGGATTTCAAGTGTCTCCTTTTACACTCCTGAGCCGCCACATTCATCATGGGACCTGGCTGAAGTTTTATTGCGGCCGCTAGAGGAGGATGCAAAAACAAAAGCTGAGGAGTGTGGGGTGGACTCAAAGGGCAACTAGCCCCAATACACATTCTCAGTGGGGAGGAAAAAAAGTGAGAGAGAGGGGGGAAAGAAAAATGCGCGCCGGGGCATGAGTCGAGTGCTTCTCTCTGCTTAATTTTGACACAGTTCAACACATTTCATCCACTTGGAAACTCCAGGTTATCCCCCGACGTTATGGGCGTACCTACACGTTTTTTCATCACAAAGGAGTAAGGTGAGGGACGGGGTCACACAGCTCCATAAATACTTGGTGTGGCTGAGACTTCGGATGGACCCTGGAGCCGTAAATACTGCTGCTGGAGGAAGCTCGCACACAGGAGAGGAGCGGCGATTTTTCTGCAAGCTGATACCTCATTTGTAGAAGGGCAGACTGCTAAAAGCCTCCTCAGTTACCACCGTGAAAGTTGTGGTGCCTCTGGCTAATATGGAAAGTCTATGATTCCGTGTTGGCACAACTATAGCATAAATTGTTGCGATTTTTTCTCTCCCTTCACTGAGTGCGATGTAGTTCATCTTCACATCTCAAAGTGAGCTGATTTGTCAAGATGACAGCGCTTACACCTTTGAACCGTGCCGTACTTGGACTTGCGTGGAGCTGTTTGAGTTTCCTGTCGTGCGTGCATTGCGTTTTAAGTGACAATCATGTGCACTCCAGTTTTATTTACAGGAGGTTGCGCAATCACGAGCGCAGGGAGATACAGAGAGAGATCCTCTCCATCCTGGGCTTGCCTCACCGTCCCAGGCCCTTCTCTCCCGGGAAGCAGGCGTCCTCCGCGCCGCTGTTCATGCTAGACCTGTACAACGCCATGGCCGTGGATGAGGAGGAGGGCGTGCAGGAGAGCGCAGGGAAGAGCTTTAGTGCCAAGGCTCAAGGGCACTCTAGGAAAAGTTACTACAACCCCCAGCATGCCGGCTACTCCCGTGTGGCACAGCCTTACCGAGCGGCCCCTCTCGTAGGCCACAGCCCCGCACTCACCACAGCGCAAGACACCAACTTTCTCAATGACGCCGACATGGTTATGAGTTTTGTCAATTTGGGTAAGTGTCATTAAAACGGGATCAATATCCACACGTGCTATAAATCAATATATACATCGGGATTATGTGCAGGTGATTCTTGGTTATCACGGACACTGAAAGAAATTGACTTATTCATCTTTCACTAGATTTCTATTTCCTCGACAGAGATAAGTGAGGGATTTTAAACTTTTTATTTCTCTTATTATAGATGACATTAAGGCAAATCGTAAAACACCAACATAAGCTGAACGAGCCTGCTTTTTGGGATGCAAAATATTACCACTTATTTCTGGAAAATAACCGGACACACGTACAATATTTTTTTAGAGAAACCTGTGCAAGCTCTCACACGAAACTTGCCGAGGAGCAAATTCAAGATTTATAATTTTTGAAAAGACATTTGTGCATCTAAATGTAAAAAAATAAAGTTCGTCGTCAGACATCAGTCATTCTCAGAGTACCGAGGGGTTGCTACAGACTCCTGTTAAATATTTTGTATTTAACACAATCGAGCTGAACGTTTTGACCCATCAATTTGTGCTGCTTTCTATTTTTTTCTGAAGTCGCTTTTATGTATAATGATTGTGTTTGTTCGGTAGCTGCGACCCTTAACCCAGCAGTTCACAGCGACTTATCAGATGACTGTCTGACCTTGAGAAAATTGGCCTAAATTATTTCCTGTTGTTAAAAGAGGGTGATACTGACTGATACTCATATCTGAGGTTCTGTCACTAAGAGAAACCACAAGCCCCTTTCATAATATTTGTGCTATTTTGTACCATTTATTATTCCATCATGACATTAAAAATATTCGCAATGCCACTCGGAATATTAATCAAACTATTACACAGTCCTGCAGAACTGAATATTTAAAAACAAATCCCTGTAACATATCATCTACAAAGTTTCACTATTTTATTCTTTAAGGATTGTATTTTCCAAAATACAAAGCGAATTTGTGGAGACTTGCTTGTAACATTATTCCCTCACCTTGGTCTCAGCCCATCTGTTTCCACTTACCGCTACACCAGGGCATGTACACTGTCAGGCTTGAAGGCTCTGCTCTCATTCTGGAGACTGTCAGTGGAGTGTTCAATGGGGCTCTGTCTTTATTACAGTACACTCACATATAGCTACTGACCTCAACTGTTTTAAAATGTCTATGTGGCATTTTATGCGGTTTAATATGCTTACTCTAGTATCAATAAGAAGCCAGCTATTCAAACATCCAAACACACAAGACAGCATAAAAAGGGGGGCTTTTATTAATAAAACATCAGTCATTTGATAATTTCATTACAGCCCAGTTAGAACCAGCTGAATAAAACTGATATCTTACATTTTTATTTAATATTTTGCTATTTCAAAGGTAAATGCTCTGTGTTCTCAGTGGCACTTCTGTTTCAGATTACCACCCGTGGCTAATATAATGGAACGCGCTCAGTGGGTAAAAGTCAGAGCTGACCTCTGACCTGTTTGTGCTAAGTAACGGCAGGCGTTCCCTCTCGATAAAATATCAGGGAAATGCACTGCATGATATCACCGTGGATGTCAGAACATCCGCTGACCTCAGCCACATGCCTTTACTCTGCTACCAGGTGGAGGTGAGAGATGGCCGAGGTCACTTTGTCAGCATGTCCCTAATGTAGGTACACTGGAGCTCTTTGATGCTGAAATTGAGGACATATATGTATATATATATATATATAAAATCAGATGCTTCCCCTTAGGAAAAAAAAATAGAAGCTGTGCATATCCTCCACTTGTCTCCACATAGGTATAAAACAAATCCACCGATTTAAAAAAAAAAAAGACGAGCCTTAAAAAGTAATCTTATATTATCTGTTATATTAGAAATATTTTACTTTCAAGCTTAAGGGTTAGCTACTTTTTATGAAGCCTAGCAGAGGTCAGAATGAGGTCAGAAAAGAGGTCAGAGTAGACACTCATGTGATGCTAAAGAATCCTGTCTGCTCTTTTTCTTACTTGAGGAGCAGACGAAAGTGTCTTTAATTGAAATCAGCCTGTTTTTCTTAACTGACAGCCCATTCATCATGGCCAGAGAATGCAGTTAGGCACACAGTAGAGGGCCTGTCTGGGAACTGCTACCTGTATTGAGTTGACTGATTTAATGAACTGGAAAGTGCTTTTGTTGGTAGTCAAAATGTTTGGATTGGACCTTGAATGTGAAAGAAGATGTGATAAATTACACTTTTTTCCTGCGCATTGATGCTGGCATATTTTCTCCTTTAAACAGCTTAAGAAGCAGTTCAGGAGGTGAACTCATACATTTATATATATATATATATATTTTTTTTTTCATCAACTTTTCTTCCCGGTAGAAATCAACTTTGTCATAAAGTATTTTCTTTTCCAGTGGAGAAAGATAAAGATTTTTCTCACCAACGAAGACACTACAAGGAGTTCCGTTTTGATCTGACTCAAATACCGGACGGGGAGGCAGTGACTGCAGCTGAGTTTAGGATCTATAAGGACCGTAGTCATGCCCGCTACGACAATATTACCCTGAAGGTGACCATATATCAAGTCATCAAAGAGTATCAAAACAAGTAAGTGCCAGACCAACCACAACTATGTATTAAATGTTCATATTAAATGTGATTGTACCTCTGTAGTCCTGAACTGTTTAACTGGGTAATCTCTAAATAATTTCTGATATTTTTATTACATAACGATAGCTTAAAGTGTCCAGCAATGTGTAACTAAAATG